TTTAATTTATCATTTATTATAAATAAACAAGTCTTGAATAAGTTATCTGGTTTAATAGAAAATAAAGTTATTAACTATAATATTAAACTAGTTAGAATTATGATCTGTAATTTGAAACATAATCTATAATTTAAAAACCTTAATAATGATAAACAAATAAATAAACATTTCAGCTAAAGTTAGAAGTTCTGAAGTTAAAGAATCAAATTTAAAAATGTAACCTTAAAAAAAACTAAATGTATTCTGAAAAATTTTTAAATTTTTATATTAAATTTGTAGCTTTAGACAATAAATAAAATAAAACAAACATCATATTTATAAAATTTTAAGGTTTACAATCATGCAATATTATTTATAATTAAGTACTAAAGCAGAAAAACTATTAATTTAAAGAATTTGTATTTGTTTAAATTCTTATAAATTACTTTAACTATTATCATGCAATCAATATTAAATGTTACATAAGATCTATATGATAGCAGAAATCATCTGAATACTATTAGGATAGTTCTCATTAGTATTGTCATATCTACTATGTCTAAGATTTTTTTTGACTATATTTAACATTCAATTATTCAAATATTCAAAAATGTTCATAGCATATACAAGCTTTAAAAATTAATATATTAATTTAAAAAATATATAATTATATATTTTTTATAGTGCTGAATATTTTTATTTATAAAATTAAAATAGGTTAATTTAATAAAATTTTGAGCAAATTTAATTTATTTATTTGTTTAAAAATGTTCAAAAATATTCAAACTCATGTTACAACTGTTTAGTGACAACACTGTCTAAAACTTGTTTATAAATTTCTTATTTAAGCACTTTAGATTCTATATCTACTCATCTATCTTTGTTTACTAATGACTTTAGCTGATGTTAGTAAAAATATATTATAACTACTAAGTTTTTAAAGCAGTTTACTTATATAAAAAACTTTTGATCTTGTACTAAATTTTTCAAAATCTTCTATATTTCATTTTTATAGCTGATCTGATATTGTTATGAATAAAACTAATACTTGCAATCAGAATATATTATTAAACTGCTATACTCTTATAGAGTTTATCTTAAGCTGATACTAACTTTACAATATATCTTTACTATTTTGATTTCAATTCAAGTTCTACCAAGCTTCTAGACCAGATAGTCTATAAAGATAAATCATAATTATATTTTTGGTTATATGTTTTCTAATATATACTTTTTTTCTAAAATTCGGAATTTTGACAGCCTGACTGATTTTATTTAGACCCCTTTTAATGGCTAACTCTTTGTCTAGTTTTATAAGTTCTAGTTCTGTTTTATAGATCTAATCTTTATAGTAGTATTATTGAAAATTTATGCTATTTTTTTATTTAGATCTTTTAAGTAGATTTCTGTCTTTTTGGTTCCTGTAATTTATATAGTTATGAAAATTTATTATAGATTCATATTATCTGGTACTAGTTTGTATTCTTTTGTACAAGATACAACTATTACATGAATATCATGTAATCTTCTAGTTAAGCTGATATAATATAAATAACAGATATCTGATTCCAACTAATAGCAGAAGACAGTTAATTATAATATAGAAAGAATTTTAAATTTTTACTAACACTGTGATTTGAACTTTAGACCTGCTATTTGGAAGTTAACAACCTGACTATTTCACTAGATTAACATACTTTTATATTAAGTTACTATACTTTAAGACTTCTAATATATATATATTTTTTTTTTATAATGCTAATCATAATATTTTATTTAATTAATATCAGATTAATACATTAGAATTATTATATTTTATTTGTGCTACTATATTATTATATAAACATCCAATGTAACATTATATCTACATTTTCCTAAATTAAGATTAGTACTATAGTGTTTTAACTATTGTTACTAATTAAGATAAGGTTGTAATACTATATTCTCTAATTTTATCTAACCATAGTTTTCTTATTTATTTTCTGCAGTAACTTATTCTTTTTCTCAAATTGGTTGACTCTGGTAGTTTCTTGCTTTTTTTGTTACTAATTTAATATACATAACCTTCTATATATTAGTACTAATCAGCATGGTTGGATTTATTGAGATTCTGGATTATTATTTGCAACTATCATGTATTTTTTTTTATATATTCCTATAGTTATTGTACTATTATATTTTCAATTTGGTATTTCAAGAGAGCCTGGAATCTTGACTTATTACATATGAGTATAGTAACTATCAATGATGTTGTGATATATAACTATTGTCTTGCTTCTTAAGAGTTTATAATACCTGTCTAATATGTTTCAATTTTGATTAGACTAATTCTTTATTACAAATTTTCTTTGCATGTACTGCTTTGCTCATTATTCTAGTTTTAACTATATTAATATTACTCTTTTAATCAAGTACTGTGCAAGTTAGATACAAAGATATTGGTACTGTCTTGTCTTAATATGACTTATCTGCACAATACATTTAGTAGTAGAACCTTTTATAATATCACTATTACACATAGTGCTTTTTTTTTACAGAGTTGATCTCCTTCTGAGAATTTTTAATCTATTCTTGTACTTTATCTTGGGACTTATCATAAGGCTTCACATCCAATTTGGCCTCTATATTAGGTTATAGAGTTAAAATCCTTAGATTTTACCTTCAGCCTAACTCGAACTATTGATCTTGTCTGTGAGGAGTTAGCAGCTTAACAATTAAACTATAAAACTCAACTTAAGACTTCTAATATTTATTAATAATATTTAATAATTTAATATAATAAATAAGTTATTATTTTTTAAATAACAAATTATAAGTTTAAAACTTAAAAATAACATTTTTTAAAAAAATCTATATTATAATAACTATATTTTATCAATTAGTTTAAATAAAATATCTGAAATTATAATTATATTAATATAATTAGTAAGTTATAAACATATATATAACTTTAATTATACAAAAAAAATACAAATCAGTATTGAGTAATGTAAACTTAAGATAAGTTTTTATAACTATATAAATTTGTAAAATTAAAAAAACAGAAACTTATTTAAGAAAATCTAAATAAAAATATAATATAAACTTTTAATAATACAACTATAAAAACTATATCTAAAAAATAAATATTAATATAAAAAACCCAGATAAGAAAGAATCTTTAAATAAAAAATGCTACTAATTAGGTTGCTAAATTTTAGACCAAGATATTAGATTAGAGTTAATAATCAAAAACAGATTATAATCTTTTTTGGTTATTTGGATTAAAAATTTGAAAACAAAACAAAAATATATTATAAAATTGATATTAAAATTTAGATAAACTTTACAATAATATAATTCTGTTAATAAAACTACAAAATAGATAAGTTAATTAATAGAAAACCTTTTATTATCGAATAATATATTTTAAAATAAGTAATAATCTAAATATAAATTCAAAAAAAGTTATATACTACTTAAATAATATATATAAATATATACAGAGATTTGTAACAAAATAATTAACATAATAGATAGTTAGAAAGCTTAAATGAATGATTTTCTAATAAATTATAAGTATGTTATTTAGTATAAAACCTTACTTAAAATAAATAACTAAAAGTTACACATGTGACTAGGTGTACCACATCACTGTAAAAATAATTGTAAAAACTAACTTTAAATATGTCAATAAAATAATACCATGTAGTATAATTTTTAATAATATATAAATTTATAAATTTATATTTATTATCTATATTATATTCTTTTTAAGTATATTAATATTATTAATACTTATAATTCTCTTCTAATGTTCATTATTGTAGCATTATTGTTTGTATATATGTGAATACCATCATATAAAAACTAATTTAAAATCTTGTAATCTACTAAGAATTCGATAATATTAATATTAATACGGTATTCAAGTATTTCGATGAACTTTTTATTGGCGATAAATTCTTTAAGGTAGTTTGGGCAACTTATGATTAGCGTTGGATATCGGAAACAATTCACCGTTAAAGATCGGCATGTTACACGAACATGTAGTGAATAATAACCGTGCAAAAAAAGCGAAAAAAAAGAAATATACAAAAAAAGGAACATAACCTATCTTGAGGTACTGATAAAGAATGTCATGAGAACAATTTTACGTACCACACATCTGGAAAAAATCTGAACATGTTAACACCAAAAAAGAAATAACAATAACTCAACCTTTTATTAACAACTTACATAATTTGATTCATTAAGTAAAAATGTTAACAACTAGTTTTACATATACCGGGATTATGGATTTGTCTAACTTTAAAACATGCTTAGATATTTTTAGACATATTAAATGTGGCTAAAAAGCCTTGAGCATAAAAATATACGTACAATATTAACTTTAAGATACGTAATTCTAACCTAAATAAGGGAATTTGAAAAATGTGTACAGACAGACCTCTCTAAATGCATACGTAACTGAGGTACCTAGGGAGGTAAAAATATAGAAGTATTATATGAGTTGAGGACAAAGGTTTTCATCTAGGGAGGTCTAGCTGATTGTTGCATTGATAAATTTATAATAAATACATATAATTTTATAACAAATTTCTTTTCAAAACTTTGCAGTAAATCATATTAAACTGTACAATTTATTAACGTTGGTGTTAGCATTGTAACATGGTATTTACTTGCTAACGTTTGGATATGTCGAGTAATAGACAACAATTCAAGTTTAAATTCGTAACGAATCGATCGATACTTTTTTTTAAAAAAAGCTTATAGGTTTTGTTATTCATATTCAGATTCGCTAGTTACGGTTGTTGCAGTTGTTTGCAACAAAAAAAAAAAAAAAATATATATATATATATAGTTAACAAAAAATATCTGATTTGACGATGCGAGAAAAGAAGTATATTTTATGCGAAAAAAAAACGAGACAGGAGAGAAAAATAACTATCGATGGGTTGACTACATGGAATACAGATACATAAACAATCGGTAAAAAAAAAATAATAAATAAATAACGATATGCGAGTTGTAGCACAAAATCATTCATTGAGGAATAAAGGCGGCAACGGAAGGTAAGAAGAGGGGACATCTGTGGAAGAATCTGAAGACATGAAATTTTCTCCAGGTAAGTTGAATTCGTCAGATAATGGATCCGTTAAGGGTAGGAAAGGGTCGACGGAAAAATTAGAGCTCTCGGGTATAGTGGACATAGTACAATTATCAAATGAATGTGAGAAGTTTGTTTTATTATTGATTGTAGAATTAACGAATGTAATTGAATTAAAATCGTTGACAGTAGACATAGATATTGATATATCTATTCTGCCGTTATATTCTCCACTAATGCGCGTTTCTTTTAATTTTTCTCTTTCGGCGATTTTGTCCCAGTAGCTCTTTACGTGCAGAGGTTCTTTCTTCCATTTGTCTGATATTAATTTGGACATGGTCCTCATGTCCATTGGCGTTTTGGAATTGTTGAGGCACTGACTATGTTTAAGATGATAGGTACGGTAAAGTATAAAGCGATTTGGAGGCTTTTTTGGCCTTCTGGACTTTTGAGACACCGATTTCCCCTTATGCGACTTGACGGATTTCATTTTGACGATTAAAAGTTCATTAAATTTTCTTTTTTTTTCGATAGAAAGAGTGAATGGTTTGAATTTATCGAAAAGTGTATAGCTTAATTTCGTAAAAACGGATATCTTTTATATATGTTTCCCTCAGATCATAACCATAATATAATTTAGATGTTTTTATTATCTAAACTATATAATAAAATATTTTCGGATTTATTGGTTAAACCACATAAATATATGTGCACATACTGTGCCTTTTCTTTTTTCCAAACATGGAGAGTTCAATCATGAAATGATGAATAACCTACATTGTTCTCATCAAAATTCCTAAACCTATTTTATTGCAATGAGTCCGAAGAAACTCTTGTAATCCTAAACACTTTATTTTAGTGTAGTCGACGCGGAATTACGGTTCCGTTCAACAATTTCTACGCTTATTTTTTTGAGGTTTAGTAATAATATTTTACATTAATATTTTACATTATAAATGCGGTAATGAAGTATATTTCCAAAGATATTTGCTAGAATAAATTTTGTGTCTTTTTGTGAGCATATCACTGCATAAAACTTGTAAGTAAAAAATAAAGAAAGGATTAAAATACTCTCTGATCAAAATCACGTTTTTACACTTAACCTTTTGGTGTGCGCCACTTTCTTACTAAGTACCTGGCATATGAAAACAAACTTAATCATTGTGTACCGTCGTACGGACTGTTTTTAGTTGGTTTACACAAGAAAAACAGAATCTTGGATATTTTTGGGCACAATTAACTGTAAAACAGTAATGACGTAAGTATGTACCAAATATTAACGTGACAGTTTCTAGGACTAGTGGCTTTGTTAATATTGCAGAAAGGTCAAGCGTGTCATCTTTATACAATGTTATACAACTTGCAAAAAAAGACTGTCTTTACAAAACTTATTACATAATGTTGATTATTAACTTTATAATACCATATAAACTTGTGAATATGTATTGCAGAATATACAGTAAAAAATTTTTTTTCTTGTACAGTATGCTGTGGGATGTGTCAACATGCTATCAATAAACAATAACAAAAAAAAATCGCATTGTGCCTAGTAATTTATTGAAATTTTTTTATTTATTCATTATACACGTGACATAATATATATAATTCACATAGTTCACAAAGAAAAAAATTATCTCATACTATTATTATTAAAACCCCCGCGAAACGATAGTAAATATCTTTTTCATCGTCATAATTATTATAATTATTCAATCTATTCAATTCAAGCCACTCCATAAATCCACAAACTCATCATTATCACTGTTACAATTCCCATCGTTAACCCGCCACAGCCTACATTCTTAAAACCTCCATTTGATGCAGCAGTTTCGTTATGACGCGGGTCACTATCACTTTGTGGCGAACTAGAATGTTTGGCGGCGTTTGTAGAAGGACTGGGTATCTGTTTTGCATTTTCAGTCTCATGTGTTTTATGTGCGTCCTGATCAGTGACTCCATTTGGAACTGATGATGCTTTCGGCGAATTAGGTTGTTGGCGATTTACTGGTGAGTTAGATTGTTGTTGATTTGTTTGTGGGTTGGGTTGTTGATTTGTTTGCGGGTTGGGTTGTTGCTGTTGACTTACTGGTAAATTTTGTTGTGGTTGAGGTGCTGTTGGTGGTGGGTTTCCTAACTTCTTATCCCCAAATGGAAGCTTTGGTGGTCCTCCCATTGGTGGCATTCCACCAACTCCTGGCAGTGCGCTCGCACCTGGCGTAGTGGATCCGGGCGATTGGGCAGTAATAGTGTAAATTAAAAATGTGTGAATTAATAAAGTAATTATGAATTTCTTCTCATGCATTGTTTTATTTATGAATTTAAATATTTGTAATTAAGTAATTATCTTGATTCTTTCTTCCTTTTTTTTTCTTATAAATATATATATATCTATCTATATATTACGAGGTACTCGAATTAACAGGTATTTTTAAGATAAGGAACAGATTAGTTTGTGCTTTTATACACTTCTCTTGAGTATGTGAACAAAAGATAATCAGTATTTTATGTTAATAATTCAAAGGTGTTCAAATGCATCGCAACATAATGACGCATGAAAGCTGATATCTTTTGAACAATCAATTTTGTTATTTCAGATCTATGATTAAATCCACTGTTATTAATGTAATCTATATCATCTAATGATTGATGTCCATTAATTGTTTTTTCTACGCATGAATCATACATAGTCTTTTTCGATATACAATTAATGTATAACACGATCAATCACATCCTATTGTACATAAAATCTCTACTTGACCGGTATAAACGGTTAAGGTCGCGATGGTAAGTTTATGTTAAATATAATTTTTTTATGATCGTGTACTAAAGCTTTGTTTTATTTCAATACTAAATGTCGACCAATTAAATTGCAAGATCAATGTTGATCATCTTACTATGATCGATCCGTCAGAACAAGTTATTTTGGGAAATGTACCTTAAAGAATCACAGCTTGAAAGTAAGTGCCAAATGGTGGTTTTTCTGGTCCATTCTCAATTTGCCCATTTGTCAAATAATTTCAGATTATCGGTTATTGAATGCTACATACTTAAGTCTAATGCACGTATGTTGTACATACATACTGACGACTCTAAACGGCGAGTCACAATCGACTACGTCGTGTAACCTACGAATCGGCTAAGTCGAAATGGCGTGTTAGATTTGGCGAGTGGGGAATGTATGATCGTAGGTATTTTGATGTAGCGAAGCAGGGAATTATTAGGAGACGAATTTACTTGATCACCAACTATTGTTCTCGTAGGGCTCGAAGCCTTTATTATATAATGTTTTATTACATATGCCCTCCTAAATCTATTAAACATATCATTCGTGATGAACCCTCTTAATTTCCTATATTACTTAAAACCCTTAATTATTATATAACCCATTAACTATAAATTTCCCTTATTACCCTTCTATCTACTAATGACTTTTACGACCTTTAATCTCGAGAAACCCATCGTTAGACCCGAAACACGTGATCCACGAGTGACGTGGGATCTTCGCCGTATGACCCTAAGTCACGCTCTCTCGGGTATGTCGATCTTTTACCTAAGATGGGTTTCCCGGTATTATACGTCGTATAAGTTGTAAACGTCGTATCGGGTCTTTAAGGGATATCGGTGTTATAAGGGAAATCGGTGGGATAAAAGGTATAATTAGTATCGACATTATAATAGGTATAATAAGCATAAGTAATATATCACGGATAAGATGTATAATGCGTACTATGAAAAAGAAAGTATATAATAAAGGCTTCGAGCCCTCTGAAGAAAGTATGCAGAGTTCGTGCTTGTAATGAAGTTTGACCCTCATAATTCCCTGGCTTCGCTACATTGTAAAACCTACGATCATAAACACACCACTCGCCAAATCTAACCACCTTTTATTGACTAAGCTGTTCGTAAGTTACATGACGTATCCGTTTGAGAAGTGACCGAAACGTCAACACCGGTTCGATGGTGTCATTTTAGTGGTGACTGTGAGATGAACTAAAGAAACCCGATATCAAAGCTGAAGTCTTGAAGCAAGAAGTGAGGTGAACCTGCCTGTAAGCCATAACGATAGAGCCTGGTCTGGAGAGGAATAAGACCTGCGCAAAAAGGGTGAAGTGCCTGTGGATTAAAAAGCTGCGATAAAGGTTAAAAAAAAAAATGTACCTGTGAAGTGAAGAAAAGCCTAGGTGGTCTTAACTTCTTAACTTTGTGCTCCTGACCAAAATCATTCCTTAAAGATTTCTAAAGCTCTAAGGACTTCCTACTTAAACTTTACTGTCAAGTTCTTTGTGATTATATGTATAATACGCATATACTAAGTGGAGAAGAAATGTTAGACCTGAAACACGTGATTCACAAATGATGCAGGATCTTCACCATGATCCTAAGTCATGCTCTCTTGGGTATGTCAATCTTTTACTTAAGATGGGTTTTCTGGTATTATACATCATATAAGTTGTAAACATCATATCGGGTCTTTAAGGGATATCAGTGTTATAAGGAAAATCAATAGAATAAAAGGTATAATTAGTATCAACATTATAATAGGTATAATAAGCATAAATAATATATTACAGATAAGATGTATAATGCATACTATGAAAAAGAAAATATATAATAAAGGCTTTGAGCCTTCTGAAGAAGTATACAGAGTTCATGCTTGTAATGAAGTTTGACTCTCATAATTCTTTGGCTTCACTATATTGTAAAACCTACAATCATAAACACATTACCTGCCAAATCTAACTACCTCTTATCAACTAAGCCATTCATAGATTATATGATATATTTATTTGAAAAGTGAGTAAAACATCAACACTGATTTGATGGTGTTATCATTTAGAATGTAGCCATTGATTTCATTACTGTATCACATCAATCATTCCTTATATGTGTTTTTGGGATCACATTTTCATAGCAGAAGGAACTGTCCCAAATAAGAAATTTTGTGTTACATAATATTCTGATCTTGTATAATGTTTTTAGCAAATAAAATTATAAATTTTAATAATATATAAATATTTTAAAAAAAACTATGTTTCACTTTCAGAGCCAATTGTAATATTTTTTTTTAATTTCTTGCTTGAATCTCAAATCTTTAATTGTAATTATTATGTTATAAATAAAGATAGCAAGACAATAATGTAATAATTACTTATTTTTTATTCTAGTACTTATGCATATTATTACTGATTATTATCTATAACAAATAATTATTATCATATTTGTAAATGTAATTTGAAAAACTTAATGATCTACTAATTAGTTGTGACTTGCTTATATCATATGGCAGAGACAGTACCTAATCACTTATATCATATGGCAAAGACAGTGCTAATCCAAAGAGAATCACTCTTGCCTATAATTAATCACAAATTAAATTATTTATATTGGATTTAATTGTGATAGATATAATTTCTTACCAGTTTTATTATGCATAAAACATTAATGATCTTTGTTGTACTTATATCACAATTCTTTATTTATTATTACTTATAATACAAAAAAAAATAATTAAAAATTATCAAATAATTATTTATTAAAAATTCATATTTATTAAATAAAAAACAATCACAAATTTAAAAATATATTCTTTGCATATTCTAATAAATTATCTATTGTTGTAACATTATTGATTATTGTTTTAGCACTATTTAAATCATCTTCATCTGTATTTTTAGTATTATTATCAATAAACTTATTTTTATCTAATTTTTTCACTAAACTTACTTTTAATATATTAATATTTTTTTAATTTCATCCTAGAGATAAACTTAATATATTAAACATTTGAATTGACATTTTTATAGATATTGGTTATGATAACCATGTTCACACATAAGAACATTGCTATTATTCGAATAGTTAGCATAGTCAATGCAAATGCAATATAAGTAATCATATAAAACATTTGTAAAAGGTTTTTTCAAAGTAACAAAGCCTCTTAAAAGATGATAATTAGTGATTACATAATCTAAAGAAGGCAATTAGTATGAATTAATATTATTAAATAAACTAATAATTGAAAAATGCTGATAGTATGCTTGATATATTTTCATAAATATATTAAGAAGCACTAAAGAACATTTTCTGAAAAGCACATGCAACTGCTTTAATGTGTATAAATATTTTATGAAATTCACAAAGTGTTGACAAAAAGCATTATTTTCTCAATGCTGAAAAATGCAATATGCTTCTTTTTGTAATTGCTAAACCATAGAATATGCAGTTGTATATTGATGAATAATACTGTGAATGATTTCTACAGAACAATTGCTTAAAGCAGCAAGATGGTTAGTAATAAAATTGAATATTGGATGATTTATTTTCATCTAGTAAAAAATGTTAGAAAAGAATATTAAAGAGATATGTTTATAATTTTTTAATTGAATCTAAAAAAAAGATCACTTCAACAATACATACAGTCTTCTTCATAAGATGAACAGTTGATTTCTCAATGATGTACCACATATATATCAAAAACTAAAAGAATTAAATTGCTTAAAATATTGATTAGATACAAAAATTCAATATTTTTACATATATAACTAAATTTCAAATAAATAATATTGACTATATCAAGTTATATCATATGTATTATATAAAGAATTAGATCAATTCACTATGACCATAGCTTCTTATCAAGATCTTTTATATCTTTTTCAAATATGTCTTTATAAATATCATTGAATAAATAAAAGATCGATGATCTCTCTCTCTAACCACTTGCATTTAGGGTTAAAAGTAATTCAGAAGAAATAAAATTAATCTATTTAAGAGTTCTTTCTTTTTTAAAAACAACATCAGAACAGAGGTATCTCTTCTTGTTCCTAAGAAATGTAATATCTTGACTATTGAAGCTCGCAAATTTAAAAGAACTAAGTTTAATTATTATGCCAATATGGAAAAACTTACTGCATATAACAAACAGGATTCTTATTCTAAAAAGAATACTACAGCAACAAGCAATTCTTTAACAGCTTCAGTAACTTCTGCACAACCAAACACCAATAACAATAGCACACTTAGTTGAAATGAACAAGTCTTGTTAGAAAACACAGAAGGTTGTTCTGAAAGCAGAGAAAACCAAAACAATGAACTAGACATGTTTGATTTTGAAACACATACTGAAGAACCTAACAACAATGAAAATTCAGTAACAACAATAGCAACATGCATAAACCTATATATGATGTCATCAACTAACTTGAGTTCAACCAAAGTAAACAAAAGCAAAGAAACCTCAAACAAATCTTGGATGAGTTTCTTTACAAAAGTCAAAAGAGAACAGTCAACTTTTTTTTCTTT